GGATTTATATAGAGTCATATCTAGCTAATTTTATATTTACATGCATATGCACAGCATCTTCGGCTAAATCAGTTTGTAGCATGATGTACTGTATATTGTATCACATGAGATCTCCCTAGTTCCCTGTGCGAAGCGCCTACGGCCCAGTTCCTCGATAGTTCTAGGAATGTTCCAGGCGCTGGCGAGTTTCTATAAATCATAAGATGATCAGCTAATCAGATTTCTTTAGCCGAATAAGCATAATGGGAATTCGGAAAAATGATTATACACATGCTTATTTGATCTGAGCTCATCAAAATTGAGCAGAAGCTGGATCAGTATCTGGTTAAATTTATCTCCCGAAATAACTGTGCATATGACTAGATTATTTTTTTTGATGGACACCGTGTCCGGGCTCGTCAAAATTGTACAGAATAAATGACGCAGTACATTTATTATCAAACCTAAGATTTCGGCAATTACATAATCTTTTTCATCCTTAGTTACTAGTTAGGTTGTAGAATTAAGTATCACTTGTAGTGCAGTGACATTTCTAGATTACTTAAATTCAAAATACTGTATTATAGATCAGTGCAGACGGAAAATTTGAAGACTTATTACCATTGGTAATGATCCGAATCATGTGACTCTAGAAACGATTTCATCTCGCATTTATATTACATGCAGAATAAAACGTCGATATGGGCAGATATACAAATGCCCCTTCGAAGCTATGCTTCTTCAGGTTAAAGCAGAAAAAAAATTATAAAGCTATTTTTATTCACGAGTATTTAAAAGTTAGCATCCCGCAGGTCAAAGATTACAATGTTATAACTCTGAAATTTATAATGTTTGAGTGTATTGCGCAATATTATTTAACTAATCAATACATTTTTTTTCAAATTATGACGTGTTAATGTAGGACTTCTAACTGTCACCGTCTTGCTGATTTTCTTTTGGATGGTGACGCTTCTAGTAGATTTTCATTAATGTGAGAATATTCCTGTACTTTTGGCGATATATCTTGCAACTTTGAGTAATAATCCATTACTCGGCTCTATAATGTCGAATATGAAGTTAGATCATTAATCATGCTACAAAGGCGATTATAGGACTCGTACCTTGAAAAAATACACTTTTCGCTAATCACATACGCTTGGTCCTTGCTATCCGGAATCGTAAAATTCGTAACAATATCAACAATGTGTAATCCTCCTTTAGCACGATGCATTGTGTAGATTGTCGTCTCACGCTCTAAAATGATAAAGCAAAACATAATTAATAATTACGAATATCACAATCCACAATGTAATATCACATACGGTAGACAAGTACACCGAAACTCTGAAGACATGAGAGCTGGTTCTCTGTTACATTACGTTTTAGGTGATGTTAAAGTTGATAATAGATAGAAATCTGCATCGCTACAAAAATGACAAATTCAATAAGGTTTATTGCAATAGGTCTTTCAAGACATGAGTATATGAATATCTTAAAATTATAAATCCTTGAATAATTTTCCATGTCTCCGTAATATCCAGTAACATCACCATTCACTGCATTTCCTACCACTTCAAGGAATCCAATTTCCATTTCAGTAGCGTTCATGTAAATTTTTAAGATACCATCATGTTTTGATCCAAGATTAACACGAGGCTTTCGTCCATTTGTCTCGTTCCTGTGTTTCTTACGCAAGGAACTTTCAATCTCTCCACTAACCAAACATTGTATGTGATAAATCAAGAGTTCGTTATACCGGACATAAATGAAACGTGTATATATAATAACTTATACTTGGAACCTAATCTTATCAAGTATATCATCAAATACCTTTGGTATTAAAGGATTGATGAATGAGTCTCTGTATTCGCATCGCGAAGTATATTAAAAGACGAGGCGAACAAAAATATGCTAGTGAAATATGAGAATTAAATGAAGTGTTGAATAATAATGATAAGGTATATAGTACACCTACAATCTCCGATATATATCTTGCGTCCACAACATGTCATAATATTTTTTAAGAGCAAATTCGCCTTCAAATGGCATTTCGAAAACAACTTTTGTTGATCGTGGCTCATCATCATCATCAAAAACCGATTTTGAATTTCTCTCAACAGCCGAAGCATACTTTTCGATTAAAGGCTTGATACTCTTTTTCCATCTTGATCGACGCATTGTATTCTCTTTCTCTTCGGCCGATGGCTCCATCTAAATTGTATGATTATTAATCTAAAGCTAATGGGATGAGCTAATGCAAAAAACACATACTTCTTTCCAAATTTTTCTCATTTTTTCCTTATCATCGTTTGAGAAGATTTTATTTACTGGATCAGTAAGGTCATTTTCGGAGAGATTTACAACCTGATAATCAAAAAGACGATAGTTCTCCTCATCTTTGCAATGAGGTTCTAGCTTTCAGTCGGTACTTCCTCGTTTTCGATGACTTCAGTTGACTCCTCTTCTTTCTCGCTCTCGTTGTAATCATCAAAAAAATCATCATCTCCAATATTAGCTAGAATCTGTGCGCGGGGATATTGACGATCTCGAAGATTAGGGGGAGAAGTGATGATAGGGGAGGCTTCTTCGGCTGGACGTTTCCTTTGGTTATCTGCATTTAATATTGGAGTACTCGCAACAATTGACTGGGCTCCTTTAGAACGTTTAATATATTCTTCAGAAGAGATGACTAGCGCCTTCGTCTGTAATTTTTGGACTATGATTTCCTGGGTTTTCTCGAAGTTGCCTGAAATGCACTAATGAGTCATTTTCGATGTTCGTCACATAACCTATACCTTGAAGCTTACCATGGCTCTGTAAGATAGTTGTGAATTCTTCAACAACTTCAAATTCTTTTTGGTTGACATTAAAAATCGAATCAGTAATCAGTCAACGATCGTATGACCTCATAAAGGCATAAAGATCGTGATTTACATATACTGTCATAAATTTGAAATCCTGAAGATTTTGTCCTCCTTACATTTAAGAAATCTGTTGCTTAATACGTTATATTGATTTTGTTTGTCGCACTGTTGTAAACAGCAATTTTACTACGCTGATGAGACACGTGGATTCGACTAGATTAGATAATAATTTCACTGTCTATTGTACGCGTGATGATGGTTAGTGATTTTCTTGGCAAATATCAAAATGCCGATATATAACAAGAAGAGTAATATGTCCGTTTTATTTTGGAACATCTAGAGGTGGGGAAATCGATTAGCACTGTGATGACATGTTTCAAGAAGCTAGCCGAGCAATAAACTTACTTACTTTATTATTACTTTGCGAAATATACTCGTTTGATTGATTGTTGATATTGATTGATGTTAGTAGTGGTAAGTTTGGATATTTCCTTTATTTTTTTTTTACTTTACTTGTACAAGGCGGATAAAGGATTCACTAAATAAGGCCTCACCTTTTTATATGATTTTCTATTCTCAAGATAAGTTGGAATATTGTCTTATCAAGCAATAAACTCAAGTTTGCGATCGTAGCATAGGCCAGTCATGTATTTATTTTTTTCCCAAAGGTTCCAGCATAATAAAGATATAAATTAGTGTACAAATTAATCATTGTTGACGCAACGAAATGATATACTATACTCTTTATTGAGTCTAAGTAAAATATACAAGATAGATAAAAAAATTACAGTATATAAAATACACAATGATACAATACATATATTTTCGTGAGAAAGGGGATACGTAAAATATACAGGATAGATAGAAAAATTTTGAAATATTCATTATTTTCTGGAATTCTTGTTCACGACCAAGAAGGAAAACAAAAAGGCCCATCAGCAGAAACTAAAGGAGGGCAATCACCCATAGGACAACAACCTCTGGTCCAAAAATTTCTTTTATCACAGCAGATACCTCCACAACATGAGTCCTCTGGACAAGGAACACAACACCCGTTAAGACAACATTCACCCACGTTTTGACAGGTTTGTCCTTGAGAGGGTGATGTCAACGCAAAGAAAATGATAGTAAAGGCCAATAAAATAGTTGAATTTTTCATTGTTGTCTTGATCTTCATAAGGTTGTCACGTTTTAACGTGTTTGTGGTTTTTAACAAGACCAAATTAACTGAGCAAGAAGTTATTAAACTATTTTTGAAGAACAGCTAGTTCCCAGCCAATTGTAAAATATATTATGCGGGTCAAGAAGGTATATAAAAATAATTTTTTTTACAAACAATTTCTACGGAAATTCGTCACTTTTTATAAATGTTTTTTAATTAAAAACAATTTTACAGATAAGCTGATAAAACCAATAGATTATCGATAATTTAATCGTAAGTTGTACAAGGTCAAGAAGGTAATTTTTGCCTTAGATACAGTGTTGGAGATTATCTCAAATGCTGAAATGAAGGACCTTTTTCGACAACTGATTTCGGAATCTGCCGTATAAAACGGGAATCATTTTAGTTGTCCGATTGTTTACATGCATAATGATGCTATCATGTATTTCTCTCAAATGAAATTATAAATTGGGAATCATTTAGTTTACTATCATGAGAGTTAATAATCATCTGAATAACACATTTATTTACATTTGCAAAATGCACACATTTTAAAAATCAATCAAAACATTCTTTATTGCAAAGTAATACATGAGAAAGGGCCGGCCGGCTATGTAAAAATGAAAGTAAAAAATAATAGAGTAGCAGGTTGTTTCAAGGGAGGAATAAAGCATAAATGCCTGCCGAGCCCTAACCCATATATTGGCAGTTCCTTCCCCACCACTCAGTATCGATGTAAATGAGTGTGATCTATCCAAGCACCTATCTTTTCTAAGTTTTTGCTATTTATGTTTTCCCCATGATAAAATCCCTTTATTGTATCTTTCCCGATTACTCCCATCCCAAGTCTACTAAGAATATCAACTGATACAATGTCACACATCTGATCTAAAGTATAATCATTCGCACCCTTAACCCTATCAAAGATATCCCTAAATTGTTTCCGGATTACAGAAATGATATTTGCGAATTTTTGGCTTGAGCCTGCAATCAAAAAATGTTAGTCAAACCCCTAATACATAAGAAATTGATTATCAATAATTGTTTTGTTTTTATCTTACCAGAAGAACCGGAAGAGCTTGAAGATGAATTAGTTTCAGATTCATTGGTCGAATTAACTTCAGATTCATTGGACACACTTTGTTAGTCAAAATCGGATCTTTGAACTACTGCGTAATGTTGATTTATTTTGTTTTGGAGATCTTTGATAACAACATTAATTCTGCTAAATTCATTATGGCAGGCTTCTCCGATATTATTAACTTTCGTAGTTATGTCATTCAAAATTTTCTGCACCTTCCTAGTGAAGTCATCATCACGTGCCTCATTTTTTTCGGCTTTCGCAGTAAGTTTACCATTAAGTTCAGTATTAATTTTGCCGAACCCCGCATTAACTTCTTCGTTAAGTTTATTATTAAGATCATTATTGATTCTGTCGAGCTCCGCGGTGAAAGTAGAATTAATTTCAGAAAGACGTGCAGAAAGTTCATTGGTGATTTTAGTATTGATTTTCGCGGTAAGTTTACTGTCGATTTCTGGTGTATTATTTTTTGTATGAAGATCATTGACGATTCTAGTGACACGTGCAGAAAGTTCATCGAAAATTTTTTGTTTGAAATTTGACCACATGGTAGCGATCTCTATGATTAACACTGGACTAATGAACAAAAAAACAGTGGTTAAAGTCAAAAAAGGCATGACTCCCGAAGAGTTGAGCAATGACAAACTGGACATGATTAGGCATAGTAATTTTATTAAGAGATCTTATTGGTGGATCAAGTTTTTTAGATAGATTTTTTTTAATATGCAATCTCTTGCGTAAATGCGCTGAGAAAAAGGTTTATTTTATACTGTATACTTACTACGCGTGAAAAGAGAATTTAACCCGATTTAATAAAAATTATGTTGCTTTATTAATTATTATGTGTATTTGTCATAACTACATTTTTCATAATTACGTTGCTCGTAGATGCTTGATTGTTGAAATAACAATGCATGACGCGTTAACAGTGTGAAATCGGCATTATGAATACTAATAAAGTACTGAGGAATTTTCTAAGATCATCTTTCGATCTGCAGGTGGGCTTACCCCTCTAGTATTTCTTTTTTTGAATTAATGAGAAAAAAAAGGTGACCCCTATTTGTGCTCCATACAAATCTACTAACGACTGTAAATGGAAATTTGTTTTATTATATAGAATGTGGCCAGAGGCATCCCCCTTAAATTTTATAGGATCTAGATCTGTAAATTGGTAGATTAAGAGGCGCAATTTCCATTCTTGTCCCATTCTAACAACAGGGACACCAATTCAAAGATTCGTAATATATGTATCATACCAGAACTTTCCAGAAATAAGTTGGCGGATTAATTATTCATTGATCTAACCCACAGGAGGTGACGTACTTACTGTACATTTTGCAGATAGCCGAAATCAAATCTTAGAAATAAACGGTAAATTCTTGCTGAATTAATAAGATCTTCTGCAACACGTGGGTTGAGTTCACAGCCCGCCCCTATTTCAATTGTAATCACAAAAAAAGAATATCATGAATCGAGATCTGTAGATGACGAATCGCACATGTACCACTAATTCCTATTCAAAAACGGATTAATATGCTATTAGCCTATACACGTAATTTGAATGCGCTAATGTTAAGTAATGCTAGTAAGGTAATAAAAATCTACCATTTATTCAGCGGAAATCATGCCGATTTCCATATTCAATTCGTTCTAACATCATGATCTGCGAAACACAAGTCAAACGATGCCCTGTCTTACGATCAGCATGTAAATCAGGATGTGTTATTTTTTATTAGTAATTCAGAACTGCGTAATGAGTGAGATAGAACATACCAGAACTTCTTTCGGCTTGACACTAGGGAAAGTTCATCACTATGGCAACACAAAAATATTGGGTTTATTAATAGATCCGTTTAAAAATAAAGCTTCTGCGATCCACTTGATAAATGGCGTAGTTAAATCACATGCTCAATACTAACTGCGGAGAAATATGTACAGTACTACGAAGAAATAAAATACGTGATTTTGGGCGAACTAAGTTCGCTGAAATATTGCCAAGAAAAATTTATTAATAAATACAAATCGGAATCGTTTGTCTTGGCTCTCTTTACCAATGATATATGACGAAACCTCTATATGTTAATTACTGCAATCTATTTTTTTAATTCTTTATATCTTTTTTTAACATTCCCCATATCCTCCCCATTACGTATAATATCAATATTTTCATCAGGACGACTATAATATTTAGGTCTATACTGTTTATCTAGGTTGAATTTATTAAGTAACCAAATTTCAAGCAATACTAACGAGGTAATTATTTTTCGTTCTTCGTCATAGCCAATGAGGGTAACGGTAAATATTCCATTATCAATCCCAATTACCCTGCATCCAATTTTAACAGGTTTAGGATCTTCACTGTAACCTTTTTTTATATGTAACTCGTCGCTTACTTTAATAACTCCCAATTTACAGATTTCCTCAAGATAACAATCCATCTCCACACCTATTTGTAAACCACATAAACCATATTAATCATGTTAAAAAAGTATAAAGATATCTCAATAACAGATAATTACCTGCACCGTCGATGCTAGCCACACCTAAATCAAAATAAAAGCTATTAATCTGAAAGAACGAATTTTAAAGGCTTAGTTATTTGTCTTTTCCATACATACTTTGAATTATATTAGCCAAACCTTGGATCTTATTTTCTAATCCTTGAATCTTATTTTCTAATCCTTTAATCTTGTTATCTGTTTCTTTAACCTGTTTCGTCAAAGTGGGTGGAATAATTACCGAATCAGGATTTTCCATAAAGACTTGAATATATTCATTGCGAACTTCCCCAATAGACGTTATTCTCTGACTACCTTCTAATTCCTCACCACTTTCTATTTCAACTGGAGGGTTTCTCAGTTTATTATATTCATTAACAGGAATGAACACTTTCCATATTTTGAATGTCTCGGCATTTTCACGAATAATTCCTCTTCTCCTGGACAAAATACCTTCCTTGAGATGATTAATCATATCAGTTTCATCAACCGCAACGAGAAACGGCTCTTCCACTCCCTGAAGGAAACACAAGAAAGTAATCCCAAACATTTTTCGATATTTACACGCTAGATGTTACCTATGGGTAACGATTCAATTTTTATCGTATTTATATTTCACCACGAAGGTCTTGGTAAATTATTTATACCTTAAGTAGCAATGTTTCCATAATGAAAAAGCCAGTGTATACTCATTTTGATAAAAATAGGGAAAATGAAATCCCTTTAGTTATAGCATCTCTAATCTCGCGCCTTTATCATATGAAATCACAATTATGTGTGATGACGTAACTGCGCATAGAATATTCTGCAGATTCACATGAGCCAGTGACGTATTATTGTGGAAAAGTATAGATCAGTGACATTTTACTGCGCATGAAATCTAAGCCACCCACGTGATTCAAAAAAAAGATAATTCAGTCTAAGTGAGTATGCAATTCATCCAATAATTCTCCTAGGCGATTACCGGAGAGATGGTGGGACTCATTACTGACTGAGGTACGGGATCATCAAAATATATATCATGGTTCTCGTGAATTTCCATGAGTATTTTATCAAAATCGTCATCAGCTTCTTTTGGGAGTCGCAGTATCATGTGTTTAGTGACGTAACATATTTTCACCCGATGCTGGGTATTTACTACAGCGCGAAGCGACCATAGACAAGAGAAGCTAAATAACCTAAATTGAAGGTAAGGTATTTTGGTATATTATCATCATGGAACAAACCTATTCTGACACTAGTGCTGGTGATAAAATTGAGGTATACGAATTCTTGGAGGCTTTGGAATTATTAGATAATGAAGTCGCGCCCGTCAACATAGATGATGACGACAATAACGAATCTGACATCGACGAAGAAGATAGTGATGATGATCAGGACAATTATTGGGACCCTAGGAAAACATATACCGGATGGGATTATAGAAGACGTTTTGGTGAAGATGCTTTGAAAAAACTTTATCAAGTCCGGGAAGCTCGACATCGGAACATTGTACTCATGAAATTTACCAGACGTCTTCCAGACATATCTGATCGAAAAAAAAATAGATTATTCGACGCATTCTCTAGGTCTAATGCATTTGGGGTGAAAGAACATAATGCACTCTTGGATACGTTAGCCGATCCCGTGAAAGGTTAGGATCTTAATAATTATTGAATGGATAATTTCCCGGCAGATACGAAAGAATTATTCAATGTTACATGGTAAATGAAAACTGCTTTATTAATACATGCAAAAATAAATACAGGATTCAAGACACTAGCCCGCGATACATATTATTTTTTGATAATTTTTTTGATTCTAGCCCTCTTGCTAGCTGAGGAACTATCAACACTAACCCTATCCTTTAACAGCCTAACAATTATACCAATAACCCTTTTCACATTGCTTCAGAGTAATTCAGGGTTATCCTTGATGGCGGATTTTGAAATATTAATCTGGTACTCACTCCCACTTGTACAGTAAATACCATCCGGAGTATATATTATAAAATGCCACTCCGTCCCTGTAGTCACAATGCCATAAAGATAGTCAAAGTAATTTTCATTAAACGCCTGATCTACAGTTCATTTTTTCTTATTTGTTTGGAATGCACTTTCAAGTTGCGCCAAATTCTAAGAGATAAAATACATTATCCTTTAGTCTTCTTCCTCTGGTCATTTCAAAACCAATAGACTGATAAGACGAAGAGACTTACTTGGGCATATCCAATCTTAATGTTGCGTGGTTTCCCTTCAGTGATACAAAGTAGGTCTTCCAAACTTTTAATCGCGTAGTCTACCCGGCCTGTCGTGTCCTTACCGGAAACATCCTTTTGAAATACTATAAATATATCTTGGGAGGTAAGTTTTTTGGCTATAGCAATGGATGCATGGAGAATCGATGAAATAAATTCATAGCGCGTCACCTCGTTGGCGTCAGTCATGGTTTTCACATTTGAAAGTTTTAAGATTATATCCTCCATACAGTGATTGAGGGCCTTATCTTCATCATTAATTTCCTCGAAGACTGCGGGAGAAAAAAATAAGGTTAGAATAATCTAGGTTAGCTTTGCTAACAAAGTTGATTAATCACCCACCAGGAGTAAATTGCTTGATACTTGTTATATCTTCCCCATTAACCTTATTTCTACGTAACATTTCCTTCAGGTCGTCGAGAGTTTTAAGCGAGGAGTAGTTTTGTAATTTCTGGCTGAGACCTTCAATGAATTCTGTAAGCCTTGTTGTTGGACTTAACGCGAAACCAATACTATGAAAGTCATCTTTAGTTAACTTGAGAAAGTCAGAGCTGGCAATTTTCTCTTTACGAAGTATTTTAATATCATCTTTATCGAGTTTAAGTTTTTTCTCCCTAAATATTCGATAAGCTCCTCTGTATTAAAATCCTTAACCACGTCCGACATTGTTCTAGTGGAAATTTCTTCCGTTATTGAGGCGGGTGAAGCGGGTGAAGAAGCTGGTGAAGACATGGAGTTTATATATGTGTTTGTGCTTGTGAAAAAATATGCACTAGACTACAGTTACAGGTAAAGCTGGTTTATGGATATAAAAGTATTTTTTGGTTTTCGACGCTCGGGGAGAAATGATAGATTTTTTTGTGTCGATTCATAATGCATTTGTCCAATATATATGCAATTAATACGTAGTACAGGATTGTCAGGCGATATTATTATTACATCACTACACGTGGCATTTTTCAAGATTTACGACAAGAACATAATATATGCTTTATTTAAGAAATAAAAAAATATTGCCGTAGCAACTGATACATAAAAAATGGCACAACGAAAACACTGCTCACTACTGGGATGTTTGAATATTTAAATAAATTATAATATGAATATCTTTTTCAGAAGGTTGCTTGGGAAAATGATCAAGAATATTGTGCATTGGAATTAACACCTGCCCTTCATCCTGTCTCCCACTATTCACGCTTATCATCACTCCTTCAGCATTAACCGATGCTAGCACTTTATCTGAATTTAAGGAAATTGCACGGACTACAAATTCAGTAATTGGAATATTATCAAATCGGGGAGTATGTTCTTTTTTAATTTGTGATCTGAGAGAATAGACGGATTCATTGTTGTTAATTTTGATTGTAATGACATGTTGTTGTGTAATATTTCCAACTGAATCGCTAGGAACAACAAGACAATTAAGCCTGATTTCTAGCATTTTGCTTTTCCTAAATATTAATGTCCATAGTGAATAAAGTTTCGTTCGTACAGATGCAATAATCCTTTGAAACATTTTTTTCTAAAAATATATAATAAAATATATTACCTTAAAATTTTGCGAGAAAGTTAGCTGAACTTCCACATACTTCTACATGCTTTATATCTTGCTGAGAAAAAGTTAATGAGGTATGAGGCGTAATTAGTATTGTCGTCTGATGCCAAGAGTTCCATGAAAGCACATGCAAATAAAACTTTCGTACCTTTTCATATGGAGATCTACTGGAGAGACACATAGTTGGTCTTACGCCTGACGATCTCGAAATTGTGACTCCCTCAGCCTTTCATAACATATGCTTTTGTCGTCAATATTTACTTTTAGAGCTGGTCCTGTGTTGCAACTAGACCCCCTTTCACATTTTCTCACATTCGTTTGGGAAAAAAAATAAAGAATAAGTTTTTCGAATATATATGCAAAAATTATTATGTCACACAAGACCTGACTGATGATCAGTCTATTTTTGTCGCACAATCTGTGGCCCAGCAAAAATCTTCCGAGCTGATGATCACTGCTCCGGACTACCTTCGCTCGGGTTAGTTATCCAATATATGCCTCTCAATAAGTATTGTATCCCATTTAGATTAGCAATATCAGACTGACTAATATAATCTTTAAACCTAGTTATAATACCAGTCGCTGATTCTTTTTTCGCCTGAATAAGCATTTCTACTAATTCACGATAATAATCATTTTTTGCAATATATCTCATATTTTCTCGTGTTAATCCACTATAGAATTCACTTCTAAAATGACCTTTACAGAGTTTGACAATATCATTACATTTCTTCATCTTTAAACAGTAATCCACTATTGATTCTTCACCTTGAATAAACAATCCACATCGGAACTTCTCAATACCATCCGGCCATATTTTCTCTCGAAGTTCATGCGGATGATATGGCAATTCTATCAGACTCAAAATATGTGGAAGATAGAAAGCATCGAAATGTATAAATACATGAAATAATGATGATGGATTTCTTACATTGGGCAGACTATGTACAAATTGCTTAAGCGCTTTCTCTTTCCAATTCCTAACTGCCTTTGTCTCCCAGTAGGTTTTGATTGTGCAAAAAAGGTCATCCCAGTATCTCCACTCATCGGGATTCCTTTCATTATCCCATTCATATCTCGATCCATATTCTTTGATAAATTCATCGTAGTCTTCTTCTATCTCGGTATCTATCTCGTCATCTGACATTTTACTAGTAGATTGATTAAATATTTTCAATCGGAAAAATAGGTTAATCATTGCTTGTTTTTGTCGCACAGGAGTACATGCATTGTGGCTCAGCAAAAAAAAATCTTCTGAACTGGTGATCACTACTCCGGATTAGTTAGATCAGTAGACTACCATCGGCTAGTATTCTATTCTTGGTGATCGTCTGTTAGGTTGCCGGTATATCCAATCTAAAGCCTACGCCATAAATAATGCTTATTATATGTTATATCTTCGAACAAAAAAAAATCTTCCGAGCTGATGATCACTGCCCGGGTTGATGATCAGTATTCCGGAGATAAGATTTCCTCATTAAATATATTACTTTATTATAGCAATCATGGCAAATGATCCCGAAACACTTAATCAATTATATGAAGTGCTATTATATAAGAAGAAGGATATAATAGCTATTCAGAAAAAACTCGGTATTAGTGGTAATGCAAATCAAATGGCAAACATTGAAGCTAGAAGGCGAAAAACACTTGCCGATTCATATAAGTTATTATTAAATTTGGTGGAAGATATAATACCAATACGGGATGATCTCAGCATTGATGGTAATCCCATTCTAGAAGAGGTACTCCAAAGCAATAAAGCTTCTACGGATATTTCATATAGAGAAATATGTAATTTGCTTTTATACCTGGAAGAGGATATAATAACAATTCAGGATGAACTCGGTATTATTGGTTATTCTAATCAAGAAAGGGCAGAAGAAGTCGATGAAAAAGCAAGAGCATATCTCCAAAAGTTTGAGAAATTCCACGGTCCATTAGAAGATGTTCCAATTGTGATTTTACAGAAATATGGTGAAATTGGGTAAATAAAATCCGGTTTACTGGAGAGGGGCATCCACTATTTCCAAATCTCTCTCCTCAACAATTACACGAAATTTTCGTAAAAAATTCAACTAGCACCGGACAGTGCCCATGTCTAGAACAGGTTAGCTAATCTATATTTTTTATCACACAGACTATAACCCAACAAAAAATCATCTGAGCTGATGATCACTGCTCCAGATTAGTTAGATCGGTACCATTCTACTTGATCGGCTAGTATTCTACCAAAATTAATCCTTGGCGATCGTCTGTTAGGTTGCTGGTGTATCTGAGATATGACCGAATTCTGATTATTATCAACACTATGCCAGGTGTTATATAACCGACCACCACTCCGGGGTGATGTTCTAGCTAGAATACAGTCCAATCTCCTTGATAATTCGTCATTGATAAAATTATCTAAGGATGCAACATCTCTTGGTGCATCATGTGGTATTCCCAGACGCCTTGCGAGATTATGAATCGCATATGAGGCTCCATTATTTAGGGAATGTACCCAATTCGGCACAAAATTCTCAACATGAACATTTAGATTAAGTGAAATGAGCTGATCTACAGCTTCTTTGCTAATATTACCACACCCTTCCAAATCGAGATACTTTAAATTAAAACATGAACTAGCAATTTCTTTGATAGTTATATCGGTAATTTTACAAAAGCTAAGGCTGAGATGCTGAAGCCTTGGGCAAGAACGAATAACATACATTACAAATTGATAGTTCACAAATATTTGTGCGATGAGAAATATTTAGATATGCTAATTTATGGCATGACCGGGCAATAGCAAATAGACCTTCACCAGTTATTATGCCTATATTACTGGATACATACTCGTTCTTTTGCAAATTAAGATACTTCAGATTAGGGTATGATTCTGCTATTCGATTTAGTGTTTTATCGCTAAATCCTGTACTAAAATTAAGATCTAAATGAACTATGTTTGGAGACAAGCACATAATGCCTTTGACTTTTTTATCCCAAAGCTGGCGGTAGTGTGAAATTTCTAGATAAGTTAGATTTGAACTATAGACTGGCTTTTGTCTTTTACGTACTATTTTCATAAATTTCTTCAATCGAGTGCAATCCTTTCTTTCACCTTTCTTTAGCTCGATACGCTTTCACAAAATAGGTGCATCGCATCTGTACCATAGTCGGGATACAAATAGAGCGGGATAGAGCGACTTATCTATTGCCAAGAAATGTAAAATCTGTTCTAATAGTTCTGGTAAATAAAAGATGGTTGAATGCGTCATAAATAATACTGTATATGCTGTATCTTTAAACAAAAAATAAAATTACGTGATTACTGCTTCAGACCCGTATGATTGGAATCATTGGTTTCTTTGGACTCAGATGAATCTGTCTCCTCGCAGAATGGCACAAAATCACCATATATTGTTAATCCTTGTTTTTCCATATCTATTTTTGCTTCGCGAAGCCATAACCATGGTAATCCTAATACAAGGTCTGCTTTCGGCTTTTCAATAATCACGAAATCATTAAAAACATCGTCACTATTAGTAGATACTAATCTATCTTTCCCCTCGTATCGGAAAGATAAATCCAGACATTCTAACCTGTTTTTTTCTTTATATTCAGTGTACTCCATCTCAAGCTTATCGACCAAGCTTCTTCTAATAGAATTTTCTCTAGATGATGTGTCTATCAATGCCTTGACTGTATAGAATCTACATCCTGCTTTCATTGCTTCGTGACGACTTTTTAGATCTATATCATCATCTCCTTGAAAATGCCAAACTTTACATTCTATATAAGCCATTTTAAGTATTATGTTTTATAACCGAATATATTTAATCGAAAATGTGCCATAAATAATATATGCTGTATTTTTAATCGAAAAAATGTGATTCTGCACCAATGATCACTGCTCCGGACTATTGGTTGGACCGGATTTGACTTCGATATGGGAGGATCACAAAATTATCGTCTTGGTGGCACATGATCAGAATCGAATTCCTCAGATGAACTGGACTCAGACGAAGTATTTATGGATTCTTTACTACAATTGCAATGTTTCATAGTAAATAGTTCGTCTACATTATCATCCAGCCACTTTACACGTTCTTCTAGTGGTTTAACCCTCTTTTTAAGCTTTTTATGCTGAGAACAATAATGATCCAGCCTATTTGTTAGCGCTTTTATTTCTCCAGAAAGCGTACTATATACTTCTGCATTCTGCTTGTCTAGTCCAAATATTCAGGCTGTTTTCTCTGTACGTCTGATAACTTCCTGCTCGCTGGATATATCAGATGAATGCTTTTGATCGGTTAATTCCATTCTGGCCATTTTCGTGATGTATTCTATATGCTAGATCTTGTCTTAAACGAAAAAAATAAAATTACGCACATTGATATCCCGACTCAATCCCTCTGGGATCCCTCTAACCCTTATATGTAAATAATGTGATTAGTTTTCATCGAAGAACATGAATGGGCTTACTTGATCGTAAGGCATTCCACGAGGTCTGTAATTTACTATAGTATACCTCTGCGATGGCGCAGTGTTATTTTTAGGACTATGTCGAAGTGCTTGACTAGCAATAGTATTAGCTTTCGATAGATTCCTAACCCCACTCGCTACAACCGCAAATACAGCTCCTAAATTACGTAAGGAACTAGGAAGTAAGGGCTTACCAGTTTCGGGAAGAAATTCAGCTTTTTTCAGAAACCTACTCAAGATTCCAGTTCCAGGCGTCTCCGGGTCTCCTAACCGTCTGGAAGATATTGCTTCCTGAATCCATGTAAGCAATTGCTTTGCCTATTCTTCATTCTTTTCAAGTGATCTAAACACTCGAGAAATATCCTGTTGATCTCGGTTTTTTACATATCCTGTTACACCTCCATTAGATATACGCAAATCTTTAATTTCAGCTGGACGGATACAGAGCATAATCATTACATCAGCTAGGGCCTGTTTGTCGGGTGTATTAGATACATCATACGAATCCAATCTCTCCTTAACTGATTCTAACGAGAAGTGGTCTGGATAATGAATTCCTTCATCTTCACATAATAAACTCTTCTCCTTTTGGATTTTATTCGATAAAGTGGTTATCCCTAGAATCTTCGTAGCTTCGATTATTGCCTTTGGAGCATTAAGCTTTTGCAATTCCTTTCGGAGCCTACTGAGACTAGATGTGCAGGCAACTGGATTAGGGGATGTCTCGGCTAATGCTTTAACTATAAGTTTTACTTCTTTTTCACCAAGGCTATCCCGCATAATACGCTGAGCCGTTTCTCTAATGATTTCTCCTTCTGGGATAATATCTGATACTTGGCAGGCGCTTTTAGTATAGCATATATTCACTTCTGCTTCTGATACCCCTTCTTTGGGGACTACTTGATTTTTAGTTCGACCAGTTCTTTGAGAAGGTATCAACGCAAATGCCTGTTTTTTGCTAAAGTTGTACCCTTTTTGAAGACGATCACGAGCCTGGCGCCTTTTCTCCCTATCATCTCCCAAGAGGTCACGCATTTCTTGCGCATACTGACCGAGCTCTTCGATACTCATCTCATTAGTGAGTTGGTGGTCTGTAACGAACTTGGTTGTAATTGCAGACATTATGTGGTATGTAGATTATATGTAGTAGTTAGATAATCTGTGGTATTTAGATTATATTAAGTGGAATAAAGTTCAATTCGAAAAAAATATTCCCCCATTTCACTACCTCATGGTCGGTGAAAGCTATCGGAGGATTGGAGGAGCGAAAAAATAATAATATAGCTTATGCTGAGTGTTCACTACGTGAATCCACCCACTATGACCGGGGTTTGCTCTGCAAACATTTGAAAATTGCGGGTAGATAGGATATGCAAAAAAAATACATAGTCATGGAACCCCCATTCCAAGGCTATGAATGATCTAAGACCGAAATGTTATAGTAATATTTAGTAAAACGTTTGTGCTAGAGTTAATATATGTTCTGACCCTAAAACATCTGTCTTGATAAATGCATCGCATAAAGCTCCCGGTCTATACTTTGAAGGAGCTAAATTCAGATGATGAAGGAATTTCATGAGTACGTTACTCCTCCAAGTTTTCGTCTCTTCACGCTCCCAGCATAATTTTAATAGTTGACATAAAGTGAAATTGTGCCAATTAGCTTGGAGCAAGATTTGCAATAGACTTATTTTTTCGTTAACCATCATTAGTAAACTTCTTTCTGATACGATACCCCAAATACGATAGGAGATGAAAGAAAGATAACTTTTTAATATTGGTAATTCATGTAAAGGCGGGATCAAAAGCCTTTCTTCTCTCCAATGCATATACCCTCTGAGTAGCAATTTACGATATGTCGGCCCATTGATAATGATCATGCGATTAGTTTTGGGATTATAGATTTTTTTGTGAATCCCATCTGCCGATTGGTCTAATATATCCATAGCGTTAGTGTGAAAAGATAATTTATCTCATTATAATACTGATTAATTTAAATACATATTTTATTACGAAATTAAAAGTGAAAGAGAGTTTTATATCCTAAAATACTTACATGGCCCCCTTTACTTGCCCATATATTAAGAGGGATGGTACTATTTGTGGAAATAAATGCTGGCTCCCTGAAGGGTGTTATAGGCACTGGAAATTGTATGAAAAGAATTCAAAAAAAAGTCCCTGCCTTATTTGTGGATTTCCTACTGATGCTGATTTGAGGTATTGTTCCAAAAATTGTTCCAAATATTCTGCAAAGTTTCATTCGCACAATTACCAGATGAGGCAGAAACGTAAGGCCGAGACCGAGGCTCTTCAGCCCACAAAGACCTCTGAATTATTGGATGAGACCCTTCAACCCAGAATCCCTGAAGCTCCAATTTCTGAGTCGGATGATAGTAGTGCTTCAATCCATGAACATTTGTTTTCCGCTTCTTTACAATTATTTGCAGATTCGTTAAGAAGAGATTTAACGGATTCGATCCGAGTCGAAATACTAGGTGATAGGGTTGTAATTAAAGGCTCAGCTACAAAGTCACCCAGAGTCTATGAAGATCCAGTTTCCGAGTCAGATGATGAGGATACGGGTCTCTATCTCTTTGAAGATTAGTGGTTAGCTCAAAAATCGGAGCACTAAATCCCCTTTGAATTATCTGCCGGAAAGTAAGTAAAAAAATATTATCAGTCGATTATTATATATAATTTTGGTAGAAGCCTACGTCTCAAAGTATGTGACTATGTATCTGACCGGAGCGAGATTTTTTTTTTAATGATACCTACTTGAATAAGTGTAGTCTTCTTCGTAATCTTATATAAAAAATTGGAAGAAGACTATACTTTTCTAGATATATATTTGGGCATGGCATTAGCACATATCAAATAAATTCTGAATATCTTCTGAAATTTGCGTATTATCAACTTTGCTAGAACTAGAAAGATTACCTAATAATTCATCGTGTGAGATCTTACTATATCCATATTAAGTATCTTTACCATTTTCCCAATAAATTTCTTCTCCTGTTTGGTATGAAGGAAACTTGGGAGCGTCCTTGCTATCGAATAAACCAACTAAATGATAATATCTTTGACTCTTATCAACAGCCTTAAATTTCAATCCATAAGTTGCGTAAAGGGATGCATTTAATAAACCAAGTTTCGCTCAGATTGTTTTTAATCCCGATTTTTTAGCACTACGCGATGCATCTGTATTATCAAATACTCGAGCCATTTTAGACACTAAACCCTGGAGATACGATGTTGATTCGGGAGTGTTCAAGCACTTTTTGACATCATCAGATTTATATCGTGTCCTATCGTCAATGTCTTTAGCAGGTATACAGATCCTTAGTAATTCCAAGCAAATTCGATGCCTCTCAGCTCGAGTAGCTATGATAAGTTTATCTTCTCTATAATCTTTGCGAATGATAGCCTCAACAGCTGTTTCATTGTTAATGCCAGCGTCTCGTAACTGTCTATAAGCTCTGAACCATTTCATATGATTATAATTCCCATACTTCAATATGAATTCTTCGGTCAATGATTCAGGCGGAATCTCATAACATTCTACAATATGATGCCAGTCTAGAGATCGCATTTCCTCTAAAGTCTTCTTCGGCTTATTTTCCAAAACCTCGGCTATCTCATGATCAAGAATACGGGCATTTGAAATATCTGAAATTTCTTCCGCTTTAATGATAGATGAACTCACCTTTACTGTCTGGAATAATGATATCGTATTATCTTTAGGTTTAGGAATAAGTTCTATGATAGAAATTACCATACCCGCATTTCGGAGAAAATCAATCATTCTCCAGCCAAATAAACGATGAGATCGAAATTTTTCTAACATATATGCAACCCATAAACGAATAGTTGGTACTTCCTTATTCCGAATAATAGAGTCGATATCCGGAAATATTCCTCTATTCTGAAGCTCTTGGGGGAGACATTCGCGTTTAGCATTCAACAACCATCGAAATAGCCCTTCTTCTGTAATGGGAACATTAGACGATCTTTGCTCAATATGACATATATAATCTTTAATGCATCGCATGCGAAATAACATCTGATTCGTTCTGGCATTTGTTTCTATATAGCTATTAAAGAGACAAAATGCTCGCTCAAAATTAGGATTAGTGCAAGATACTCCTATTTTTAGAGTGCTAGTATAAGCAACTAGGTCTACGGCTTTCCATGCTTCTTCAACGTTACTGAAATCGTGAGCCTTTTCTACCAGATCAGATTTACCATGATATTCCTTAATCCGTAGTTCTGGAAAATCGGTCTTAAGAGCACAAACAATCCCTTGCACA